AAAGAGTAAAGACTTGCTGGGAGCTGGGAGGCCTGCCAGCCTCCTGGCCCCCTGACACCCCTGCCTGCCATGAACCTGGTAAACTCAATAAAAGCCTGAAAAAAACACCAAGGGTTCCAGGACTCTTTCTTCACCCATCTGCTCGCATCATAGAGATTCTGTTCCATGCCCATCCGGCCACTACAGGAGACAAACTATTCCTAATGTTCAGTGAAGAGTTGCCTCCATCTATGGTGCTCTAAATAAGGATAGCTCCACAGTTCAAAGACAAAAAATTAAGTTTTCTATTAGGCACATAGTAACTATCTCATCGGTCCTTGCACCCATGCTTCCTATTACCCCTCACCCCAAGCCTATTGATTAGTAGATGTTTGGAGGAATAGCCAATATCAGAATAACTCTTTGAACAAAGTCCAATCTCATTTCATCTCCTCCTGTGAAAGTTAATGACCTGAAGACAAGCTTCATGAATGCCTGTCTCCAGTCTCCAGACTGTGAGGGTAATAAACTTACAGCTCACTGCCTGAATATGAGGAATGACATACCTCCCACCTCATTTAAAAAGGCAAAGAAAGGTAATAGCTCAAAATGGTGGCCCTCAACTCTTAAAAAATCAATAGTTCCAGTTTGCAAATAAGAGTCTGGTTCATTTCAGTCCATTCCATTCTGAGAAATGATTGGACCCAGAAGAAACCTGTTGAGATGTTCAGTAATTCCTGAAGGGCAAGATGTCTCCAGGAGAATATCACTGACCCATTTAAATGGCCTATGGTATTTTGTTTTCATGCCCATGTCTCTACAGAATCTGTTCTAGATTGCTCTAAACTGCTTGTCTGATTTTGCCTCTGTGAAGTCCTGGGATGCTATTTGAATTCCTTCATTGACCAAACAGGTGGGATTTTCTGTTTTGAGTAGTTTCATTCTCAGCACATCAGAGGAAGCATAGGATTGGGAGGTGCCTGACTAATGTGACCAGTAACATCCAAGTAGGACAGATAAACCTGGGTCAAGACCATGTCAATGGACCATGGATAATCCTACTGTGTAGAACTGATCTTTTGGTGTCCAGATGTATAATATTCCAAAGCACATTTAGGGATCTAACTGTAATGTTCCTGATTTTACTCCCGCTAACTTAACCTTGGCTCCATCCAGCTGAGCTGACCTGAACACTGGACAGCTGCCTGTTGCAGAGGCCTGGGGCTGCCGTCACTTCTTGCCCAGCTTGGCCTGTAGTCCTTTGCTGCAGGGCTTGGAACATAATAGCAGGGAGCAGAAGGTCTGGCCACCCAGCATGCTACTGGCTCTTCCCCTGAGCCATCCAAAAATTCTCCAAGGTTCTTTTGAAGAAAGGAAAGGCTCATGAGTTCTGATGCTCATTCCAGAGTATTTGTTCAACTTCCTTAATCTGTTCACCTATTTCTCAGAAGTATCTACTTAGTGCCAAATACTTGCCTTGAAAATTAATTGATAAATCTCCTGAATTTAACAAGGAACCAGGAGTTAATTACCTTAATGGAGGGCCCTTAATTCACTTGGTTTCATGGAATCCTCCTACAGTGTGTGACAAATTCTTTATCTTCTTTAGAATGCTGCTGGCATTTTGTTCTTCATTTCAGTAGAGCTCAGGAGAACCAATTAGGAGGCATCTCAGAAGAAGCGTGTTGGTGCAAATATCCATCGCTAAGTGGTGGGCACCATGTGTACCTCCCTGGTTTTCCTTTTCGTCACTGGCATGGAAATCATGGTGCCTTCCAAAGAGGCAGAGGCTGAGTCAGATTTTTGCTAAGATAAAGTAATACTTGGTTTCCTGGGGAGTACAGATGAACTAACTCAGAGGCTGAGGCTCTAAGTCGTATGAAGGGGGAAAAAAAACAACACCACATTTTAGCACTCTTAATCCTGTACCATCTGAGGGCTGCTTCCATGAAACAGAAGGGATGTAATCAAAAGCAGCATGTGGTCTCACCTTTGTAGAGATTGGCTCTGAGAAGCTAAAGACCATTCCTGGGAGATCGTACTTGTTCTGCCAGAGTGTGCCAGATCCAAATGGTGACCTGACCTCCTGGGATAAATGGAGTGCCCATCATTCTTCTGTGTGTGTAGTGTATCTAGGTGATCCTAGGGAGACAGGGGTGTAGACATCAGTATTGTAGTGTTCATTTTCTGCAGACTTCTCTCTCTTAACAAATGAGACAGCTTCTCTGTTAGCATCTGTAACCATTTCTAGTTAACATCTATATTCCCTTAAGCTACTGGAAAGCAAACCAAGTGAGAGTAGAATCTAAGCAAAGCAGAGTTTAATTAAAATACAAAACACTGCTTCCTCACCTAGGTGACCCTAGTGTGTTAGAAAAAACTACAGGATGAAGGCAAACTGCCTGCTGAGTCAACAGTAGGAAAGAGCTTCTCATGCTGAATGGCAACCAACAACTCTATTAAAATAGTCCTACTTTTCTCACCTACCCATTGTAACTACGGTGTCCCTCCTGCAGAAGCA